TTTGATTTACCCTGTACAACAAGTCAGACCAATAATCAAGAACTCATATCTATAGCTACATTATGTGTGTACCTACCGCCTGCAGAAAAAAATAATAAAATCGAGGTAAAAGTAAAAAAGTTATGATGTTCTGAATTTGCTCAAAATGTTGCTTGTTGCGTTTATTTTGAAATGTATATATACTTGCTCTGATTACTAAACAATTTTAGTCTGAGGTTAGGCATGTGATCTTGATCTTACCAAGACTTCTAATACTGCAATTCTAAATCGTCGCTTCAGAGCAGAAGTAGCTTAACTGCAAAAATCGAATTTTACAGGAGAGAGTTTTTTTCACTCCACATTCAGGTTTTTGACACAATCGTTGTACAAATTATATTATTGGCACTCAGGGTCATGCTTTTTTTTAAAGTTTAGTCAAACAGAATGAATTTTGCATATTTTGGAAAAATCTGGATATAGCATAGTTTATATTATTGGACGTGTGAGTTAGGATAGTTCTACGAGAAGATACGATATGCAGGGATAATCGATAAGCTACATAGGATAGTTCTGTAGTGCTATTTTTTTTTAAGTAAAACCAAAACACATTTTTGTCAAATTATTTATTTTAATTTTACTGGGGGGTAATGAAAAGGAAATATTTCACAAAAAATACATTAAATAAATAACGACACAAACAAGTGATTAAACTTATACATAATACATGTATAGATAATAAAATCATAAAAATAAAAACATTCTTTTAAGGTGTGTTATTTAAAACTAAAATTAGGTAGTTTGAAAACAAAAGAAAGGCAAACTTTGTCAAAAAGCAGGCAAACAACCGAACATTTAATTCAAATCAGAATCCGAATCTATATTTTCTTGTGCAGCATAAGGAAGGTTCTTAAAGAATAATTCGTGATATTGTGGCAATATGGCTTTTTTCTGACATAAAAACTGCAAATGATCAAATTTTTTCTTTGATAGCGGAAGCTTTCTTAAATAGCACTTCTTTAACTCGGTATTTTTTATATCTACATTATCTTTTTTGCGTCGGCCTTTTTCAACCAGATTAATAATTTTGAAAGGTTCCGATTCATCGTAGCTGTATTTAAAAAATATTTTATTCGGAAACTGGACGTTAGAAACAATTCGAAATTTATTAAGATGAATCTTTTCATTTGTTTCGTCTTTCTCCCAGTTAATAGTAGTCGATTGTTGCAAAAGCTTCAAATCGAATACGTCATTCTGAGAAATTTCTCCAACTTCGTAAGGTTGACGTCTCTTCGCAGTTCGCACTAACGTGTACCATTGTTCAGGGGTATAAATAGGGATATGTCTAGCAGCTTTTTCAATAACACTGTGCATTGAGTCGCCTTCTGTTTGTGTATGTCCTCGTTCCATAAACTGATGGCGAATAGTAATTTGGTATTTCTGTGTAAGGTAGTTATATAAACTGAACAAATATTTATTTCTATTTTGCCCTGAGCAATTGTCAGAGAAAAATGAAAATTCTTTCACTCCTTTTTGAACATGCTCTTTAACAAAAAGAATGAGGCAACTTCCAATTTCGCATGAACCTCTTTTCGCTATGCATTCATACCACATGAAACACACTCCGTTATTATTAGCTAAGTTGTAAATTGAAAAGTTATAGGTTTGAAGTTTCAACTTGTAATATGCCAATCCAACCTCAGATTTAGGTACAGGAAGAGCTTTCTGGAGGTCAAATGCTGCTGCTACGAAACTCGAACTTTCAGTAGCTTTTTTCTTATCCCTATCTTTAGATTCTCTTGCTTTTAACCTATTTTCTCTATGTAACCGGTATTCTTCTTCAATTTTCAGTTTTTCTTCTTCCGATGAGTTCTCATATGCATGGCAAATGTCGCAAACATCTTTTTTAGGCTTAAAAAAGGATATATTGAATTCCTCTACAAAAATAGTGCGATACATACTTTCTGTGGCGGTATCTTTGATGTTGTTATCATTACAATATTCCTCATATAAAACATACATCTTGGATATGTTAAGAGTTGGTGGTAGATAAAGACCGGAGGTGTTTATTCTACAGTAATGGCTTTCGATAAAATCGAATGAATTGATATGATTCCTTACTGTTTGCTTCACAGTATCATCAATTTGGGAGTTTTTGCAAACTTTTCCCCTTTTGTCGGCACTAATAACGCCTGTAGATCCCAATTTTTTGATCACGGTCTTCACCACTTGAGCACTTATACAAAGTGTGTTTAGAAAGAAAATTTGACAAACGGAAATTCTTTCTTCTCGTACCGTCAAGTAATAGAAATTGGTAAAAGTACGTCTGCTTCTCTCTTGCATGATTGGTGGTTCGTCAGAATCATCCGAATTTAAAGATTGTTTTTGTAACCTAGTTCTACCTTTAACCTTTACTACAACATGACGTGCTATAAAGTCCCTTTGCCGGTTAATATCAGCTAAACTCCAGTAGTCTTTGAAGATTTCTTCTCGTTCGGTATGACCGATTCTCTCTACACATTTCTTTTTGCAATTTTTACATGGATCTTTCAACTTTCTTGCACTGTGAGTATTTCCTTTCCAGTCTAGGTATTCTTTGCCTGAATTTCTTGCCAATTTTATTTCATTCCTTTTCCATGTAGTCACATTTCTTGTTCTTTTCCTCGTTTTTTCTTTCTGTGTAAATCGTTTAATGCATTTCCGTTTCTGTTTTCTAATTGGTAGATTTTGTACACTATCGTCTTCGATTTCAGAATCTTCTTCGTAATCTGAGTCTTCATCCGTCTCAAATGGATCATTTTCAAATGACGAAAGGTAAATATCCTCTTCTACATTATTTTTATCATAAGTGTTCATTTGGTTGCTAGAGGTACCATAAAAAGAACAAGATGGTTGATTGTCTACTTCATCCAGTCCAGATAGCGAAGCCAACATGTTTTTATTGGGTGTATCATTGGTGAAAATTTGTTTCCACATATCGTCGGATGGCACGTCATGAATGGTGGGATTGAAAACATTGGTTTCTTTCGGAACTAAGAAATCAGGAGGATTTAGATGAGCAGATTTCATCAAATGGCATCTATAGTCTCGACAATGAAGTTTGCTGTTTTGCTGGTTTTTATCTGAAAAACAAAGTGAAGAGAATTGTCATTTTCGTATTATGAATTTAGTGTAAAGTCTAAATATGTTATATCATTGGCATGTGAACGAAGACTTTTAGACAAAGCACCTTAAAGTAACACATCAATGTCACTTTGTAACTTTAACTTTAAAATCACATTATGAAAACGACCTCAATCAATTTCATAATATGACCTTAAAATTTAAGATTAACGTCCTAAGCAAACTGTCAATCAAAACACTTAAGAATATGTTATTTTGAAAGTCATATATAATTCATTTTGAAGTTAACGGCCGTTAAGGTTCTAAAGTGACATTCGCATTTAGAGCTTCTTTTCGAGACTACTTTGCGTATGGAAAAGTCTTCCTTATAAAACCAAAATAGAAAAAAAATGTTTCAAATTTTTTGTTCTAATTAGGTTTTTCACACATTTTGAGACATTTTAACTCGATTTAGAGAATACAACTTTTTTGATTTTTTTTCGATACAACATCTACTTCCGTGATGTAAAAGTAATAATTAAAAGCCTTTGACTTACCTTCACTCATATCTGCTGATTCAAAATTAGGGCATCCATAATATTCATAATGCTTGTTTTTGTCCATTACTGATCCAGCATCTTGCTTCACTGCTACTCCAATATCGTCTAAGAAAAATTAAAAATGTCTAATCGTCTACCTATGGATTTTTCACAAAATATAGCTCACCTGAATATCTGCACTTATTTTCTTGTCTTGCGAGTCTCATGATTCTTGAACTTCTTGTAGTGGAAAACATCTTTCTAGTTAACACAATGACAACCGTCCGTTCTGTATGAAAGCATCCACTGTACTGTTCAAAAAAGCCAATGTGTAAAACGAAATATCCTAACTATGCATTTTGCAAGTCAGGACAAGTCTATTTCCCAAACGCGGTAATTTTGTACCATATGCGTAAACAGAACTAACCTAACTCCACGCTATGCTGGATATCGACTACTTTTGTTAAGGTCAGAACTATCTTATCTGAAAAAGTTGTGGTAATTAGGTATATTCTGTATTACTCATTGTTGCAGAACCAACCTATCTCCAATTAAAGTTCCAATTAGGCTTATGGTTTAAGATAGGATGATTCTGCATTGAAATTAAAATTGAATTTTCAGATAGGATATTTTTTGACTCAACTGTTACTGTCCAAGTAATATAGATGGACATAGGTTACTTCTGTGTTGAATCCGTGGTGTTTCAAACTATCCTAAGTCATTAAAATCGAAAAATAACAAGTTTTGGAGTTAGGCTACTTCTGCTCTGAAGCGACGAAATATGTTTCTGTTATACGAGGTTTGTCCGGAAAATACGTATAAAAGTGGAATAATAACTTTATTTTACAATTGTTCAGGTATTTCAATATAGTCTATTTCAAAGAGAGACAACATGCACTTCTGTCAACGCCGTTTTCACTGTTGATACGGTCGCTGAAAGCCTTTAATTGTGAGACTTCATTTGCAGTGTAGTTTCTGCCTTGATGGCTTCCATGTAGATATTTCCGTGCACTGTCTGGCCGGGAGGGACAAATTACTCTCACGGCCATTCTTGCCTAACTTTGCAAGAAACTTGATGTTGATGAGAAGTTCCTTACTTACTCGCAGAACGCTCCAGCTCGAGCTGAGCGTAGAGGGGATTGCATAGAGAGAGGTAACCGCCGGGCCACCCTTCCGCAACGCCTTGACACGACGCCCCGATTTTTTTATACGTATTTTGTGGACAAACGTACATTCACCTTGAAAATCTTTATAGAACAATTTATACAACAAGTCTTGCCTGCCTGAACATTAAACCAACTAGTTTTATAGAACGGTGTATTTCAAATTATTCCTCGTCACGTCTTTATTCTGGTGATTTACATCACATTCATTGTATTTCAGGTCTCGACGTGAACGACATCCATTCAGTAGAGGTTGTGGGCGGTTCAACTAGAATCCCTGCCATCAAAGGATTGATTGAGCGGATATTTAACAGAACGCCCAGCACCACTCTGAACCAAGACGAGGCTGTTTCCAGAGGGTGTGCTTTACAGTGCGCGATCTTGTCACCTGCCGTCAGGGTGCGTGACTTCAGCGTGACGGATGTGCAGGTAAGTCTTTAAATTGAAAATGAAGTTGTTACGATGATCGCTTGGAGCGCTAGCATCGCACTTTAATGTTGAGGAAAATGTATCTAACGGACTGACGATATTTGAAATGGTAAAAGAAAAATGTCAAACTGACATGTTGCCAGACATGCTGTTATGTGCGGCAAGGACACATCCGTTCCAGTCTGGTGATAGGTTTATTTGAGTTTACAAAGTGGACTGTATTTGATTTGGAAAATGAGTGACAATACAAATTTCTTGAACCTGTTAATGCATTCTGTCTCGACACCTCCTCTCTTGGTCGCGGCGCTTCGATCTCCTGGTGTCTCCGTCCCCATTGGCTGGATTCAAAAACTGTCAGGCAGCGCTTGCGCAGTGGTCGTGGCTGGTACACAGTGGCGCGCGCGCCAAATGACCATTGGCGTAACACATGCTCTACTGCTGTCCCATTATTTTTTCTTCTAATCCTTCTCGCAGAGTAGCTTTCAACCACTTACGTGCCAGGATGGAACAATTGTAACCGACTCAAAGGCTAAGGCGGATCTAAGGATCTAAGACCGGGCCTTACAACTAGAGCCCTATAGATCTGCTTTCTGTTATAAGTAAGAATATGAAGAGGAGCATAAATCGGGAGTTTCTGGAGTAGCTCGAACGTCAGAGCTTGATTAGCGACAGGCGGTATGGTTTCCGACACCAGCGATCCACAGGGGACCTCCTAGCTGACGTCACGCAATTGTGGAATAAGCTGATCCAATCTTATGGTGAGGCTCATGTCGTTGTTCATGATTCTACGAAATCGTTCGATCATCTGTGGCATGCTGTGCTCTCTTATGCAAACTTCCACTCTATAGCCTCAGGGAAGTTTTGCAGATGGGTGGCTTAGTTTCCCTTTACCCGCAAGATATCCGTCGTAATTGACGGATCCTCCTCTTCATCCCAAAACTTCAACGCGGGTGTCGCTCAGGGATCGGTCTTGGCTGCGACACTGTTCCTCCTACATGTCAACGACCTCCTTTACTGCATGATCAACCCAATCCACGGCTTCGCTGATGACAGCACTCTACATGCAGGAATTTAGAGCGACAAGCCGATCTATGCCGCTGAGCTGGGAAAAAGAAGACTAGCGACGAGTTCGTCTCTGACGATAGACCTATAGGTTATCACGGCTTGGGGACGCAACAATCTTATACAGTTTAATGCTTCCAAAACACAGTACTGTACCTTGTCGAACAAAAAGCGTCTTAGCGCTCATCCGGTTTCGATGGATAGCTGAGTTCTGCCAAAGAACCGTTCTTTTCGGCTGGTCGGAGTCCAGATCACCGAGGACCTGATCTGGCACGAACACATCTCGTCAATAGCGGCAGCAGCTGGGAAAAAGCTAGGCTTGCACCCGCCATATACTCCCAACATTTCGCACAGTGATTATCCCCTTTTTTTGTCTCTTGACAACTGTATGAGGCACCGACAGTTCATAACTGGAGATGGTGTAATAAATGCAGTCCGCCAAAACCAGTATAAAAACCGGAATGTCCAACTGATAAGGCTGAACATTTTTTCACATTCACCAACTTTTATTAAAATAAAACCATTTAAACTGGGTGTTCGGATTTATATGTCACTTAGTATAGTTCAACACATTCTGGTGTCTGTCTTGCTGCCTCGTCTTCATTTTGCAATACTCAATACTGAACGTTAAAATTCAGTAGCTTATCATCTATATCAAGAATTGAGATTTATTCACTTTATAATCATCATCATCATAATCAGCTGCATCTAGCGATTTGCTCCGATTGTATGCCGAAAACTTTCTTCTTATTTTATGCAAAACAAATCACACAAAATCGCTAGGAAGTACGAAGAAGTATCAGGTACTTCTCTGTTACTGAACAAATTTAAGTATACTGAAATATTCAGCTGTTGTTTGTAGTCGCCTTTTGGCGACTGAAGTATCGTGGTAAATATTGTATCAGTCACTGCCTATTATACTTCATATAGATGGTGTTTTCAAAGTTGAGTCATTTATTTTAACTGCTTATAGGACTCGTCGAAAAGAGTTGATATACCAAAAATCACCTTTATAAAAGTTGCAAAACAAAATATGGGGTTGTCCAAAACGGACGCAGGAAAGTAAACGCATATTAAAACAAGAAAGATTGATATTCAAATCAAGTTGGGTACTTTATTTTGAAGGTTCATTTATACCATTTATGTATGAAAAATAATATCGCTCAAATGTTCACCACGACTGGATTTACAGACGTCCACGCGATGGTCGAAATTTTCAATGACATTTTGCAACATGGTCGGTTCTATGGCATTTATCTCGGCAATGATGTTGTTTTTGAGTTCTTGGAGGGTGGCTGGTTTGTTGACGTAGACTTTGCTTTTCAAATATCCCCATAAGAAGAAGTCCAAGGGAGTCAAATCGCACGATCTTGGTGGCCATGGCACATTTCCTGTGCGCGAAATCACGCGATCACCGAAGAAGGACTGCAATCGATGGAAATTGACGTTGGTTGTGTGGCATGTTGCACCGTCTTGTTGGAAATAAACATCGTCCATATCCATTCCTTCTAGTTGCGGCAAAAAATAGTCCTCTATCATCACGTGATATCGCTCAGAATTGACGGTAACGGCGTCCTCGGCCGCATTTTCGAAAAAGTAAGGTCCGATGATGCCTTTTGACCACAATGCACACCACACAGTCACTTTTTGAGGATGCATCGGCTGCTCTTGATACTCACGGGGATTTTCGTTCGCCCAGATGCGGTAGTTTTGCTTGTTTACCGTCCCATTCAAAGTGAAATGCGCTTCGTCGCTGAACATGATTTTTGATGAAAAATTGGCATCAATTTGGCGTTGTTCAAGGAGGCTATCTGAGAACGTTCGGCGCGAAAAATGGTCGGCCCGACGCAGCTCTTGCGTCAATTGGATCTTGTAGGCGTGTACATTCAAATCCTTGTGGAGAATGCGGAGCAACCTGGTTCTCGAAATGCCCAATTCTTGGGATCTACGCGTTGTTGATTGTTTCGGATCGTCTCTCACACTCTCCTTCACAACAGCAATATTTTCCGGTGTGCGAACGCTCCTTGGCCGGCCAGAGCCTGGCAGATTTGCCACAGAACCTGTTGCCTCGAATTTACGCACCAGACGACCGATGGTTGTTTCGTTCGGGCGGTTATTACGACCGAAATGTTCACGAAGCGCTCGATACGTGTTTTTTATTTTTGCACCATTTTTGTAGTGCTCTTGAATAACTTTAATGCGGTCTTCAATCGAATACGACTCCATAGCGATCAATGGTAAACATTCAACTAACAAAATGACATGTCGGTGACAGAAACCAAAGATGGCGTCTATGTCAAATTGACGTTTACTTTCCTGCGTCCCTATTGGACAACCCTACTTCATATAGATGGTGTTTTCAAAGTTGAGTCATTTATTTTAACTGCTTATAGGACTCGTCGAAAAGAGTTGACATACCAAAACTCACCTTTATAAAAGTTGCAAAACAAAATATTAAAAATTTAAAAAAATAAAAATGTCATTGCACAGATTTCTTGTTATTCTCGATCACTGCCGTGTAATGGCTTAGCGTTTTTTGTCTACTACTCTTATCTTTGTTCTAAATTTGGCAAAGTTTTTGTGTTAATGTGTGGTTTTCAGTACGAGTCTTTGGTTCGATCAGTTGAATCAGTCTTTAAATTGTGCGTATACTTCCATTTGTCTGATTATTTTGTGCGAAAAAATGGCTCATGTTTACGAAAACAATGAACTATTGGACATAATACTAACATACGGGGAGTACTAACAAAATGCAGCCACAGCATGCAGGTTGTATGCGGAAAGGTTTCCTTTAAGAAATCATCCGGCCCCACGGATGTTTGTAAATTTAATTATTAGAGCTCCTGACACAGGATATTTAAAAAAACAACGAGGAGGTCATGCTGGAAGACCTGCTCAACCTGAATTGAGGAAGACATTTTAGAAATGGTCGAAGACGGTCCAACAATGAATAACTACAGCAATACCAGCTCAAGTTGAAGTTTCTCATAGTAAAATGCGACAAGAACAGTATTATCCTTATTTTCAACGCGTACAATCGTTACAATCTGAAGATCATCCTAGAAGAGTTGCTTTTTGCCAGTGGCCTTTAGAACAGTTCGACAGAAATGAAGATTTTAAGCAATTAATTTTGTATACAGACAAGGCCACATTTACACGAAATGGAGTGCACAATTTCCATAATAATCATGTTTGGGCAGTAGAAAATCCGCATGATGTAAAAAGAACTTAATTTCAACATAGATTTTCATTAAATGTTTGGAATGCCGCGGTAAATGGCATTTTATTGGACCCTTCTTTTTTCCACCTCGGCTGACCGGTGAAATTTATTTAGATTCTCTTCGACACAATCCGCCACAATTATTAGATGTTCCTCTAAATGTGAGACAGAATATGTCGTTCCTAGATGATGGGGCTCCATTACATTTTAGACGAGAAGTTTATGAAAATCTAAATAATGAGTTTCCGAAAAGATGGATAGGGCGCAAATAGACCCATTTCTTGGCCTGCTCGCTCCCCGGATTTAACGCCGCGATTTTTTTCTGTGGGGATATTTGAAAGAGTTGGTGTATCATGATGGAGCAGTAAATACTCTGGAAGAACTTCAACAGCGCACTGAAAATGCTTGTGATTTAATATACACGGTGGCGCAGCGAAAACGAAACAGACGCATTTACTGCCAGCTCAGCTTTTCTTTTTGAAAAACGCTCAGACCCGTCGATTTTGTTTTAGAGGGGGGACACAAGTTTGGCAAAAAATACGTTAGCTCGTGAAGCCCCCTAAGTGGGGGTGACACCACCCCCAAAATCTTAAATGGAAAGGGGGGTCGAGTGATACCTTATTTTAAAGGTCTTTCAATTCCCTTTATAGTGATATAAAATTAATGTACTTCAGTTCAGTAGTTTTGAAGATTTATTGATTTAAAGCTTAAATAAAACTAATACATCATCATTAGTGGAGATGAATACATTTGGCAGCAAAGTAATTTAAATATGAAGAATGAACTGACCCGTTAGGCAAGTAAATGTTGAAAATGGCCACCATGACTCTCCATACAATAATAAAGATTTTGTTCAAAACGTTGCCGCACATTTTGCAATATTTGAGGAGTAATTTGAAGGAACTCATTCACAATTCTTTGTCGCAGGTCTTTTAATGATGTTGGCTGAGTAGCATAGATTTTGCTTTTTAAATGACTCCACATAAACAAATCCAAAGGTGATAAATCTGGCGATCTTTGGGGCCATTCAATGGCACCTCTTCTACCAATCCATCGGTCTGGAAACGTCTGATCTAAATATTGTCGAACACGTAATGCGTAATGTGGTGGGGCACCATCCTGTTGGAACATCAACCTATTCGCAATGTACCGCCGATCATTCTGATTTTCAATTATGGCTGTTAATGCAGGATCTAATTCTAATCGAATTCCAAATACATTTCACTGGTCAAATCTCCAGGTAACTAAATGATCGCCAAAAATACCAGCCCAAACATTTAATTTTTGTGGCTGCTGTGTATGAACCTCATGATAAGTTCTGGGATTAGAATCGGATCAATATCGGCAGTTATGACGATTTACTACGTCATTTAAGAGAAAGGAACATTCGTCGGAAAAGCAAGTGTTGAATAGAAAATGTTCATCGTTTATAATTCGTTCACTCATATCTTCACAAAAGTGTAATCGCCGATCAAAATCGTCTTCATTAAGTTCTTGTACCAGGTGAATTTTATACGGATGAAAACTATGGGCCTTTAGAATCCGTTGGACAGTACGTCGACTAACACCACACACAGTCTCCAATTTGCGGGTACTTAACGTAGGATCTACACAAACTATCCCTAAAACCCCCATTTCTATTGCTTCGTTCCTAATGGGATTTTCAATGTTGCGTTTTTTATTGGCGACTGACCCAGTTTCCCGAAATTTAGCTACAAGTTCTAGAACATATTTTCGATGCACGTTACTGTTCTCATGTCGCTCATTAAATATTTCTGCTGTTCTATTAGCGCACTGATTATTTCCGAAAAATATTTCGATAATTTCAACTCTTTCTGCTGTGGAATATACCATGGTTAATTTATGTAATAAAGCGTCACAAGTTATTTTAGCAACAAAGTTTGGCCAAATCAATCGCAAACTATGTACTAAATTCCTATTTAAAATAAGTACGAGATATTTCCTTCTCTTTCTTCAAGAAATAACTTTTTTACCACAAAAAAACGCTCCAATAGCTATTTTCAACAACAAGATGATAAACAAACCATGGGCGTAGTGAAGAAAAGCATTTACTTATTAAGTAAATTCTTTTAGTCAGATTTCTTCTGAAAGTAGTACAAACTAATCTGATGTACCTATTAAAGTCTACTTTAAGCTTTAAATCAATAAATCTTCAAAACTACTGAAATGAAGCTCATGTATTTTACATCATTATAAAGGGAATTGAAAGACCTTTGAAATAAGGTATCGCTCGACCCCCCTTTCCATTTAAGATTTTAGGGTTGGAGTCACCCCCTGCACGTGTTAACGTGATTTTTTTCCAAACTTGTGTCCCCCTCGAAAACAAACTAGACGGGTCTGAGCGTTTTTCCAAAAAAAAAAACTGAGCTGCCAGTAAATGCAACTGTTTCGTTTTCGATGCGCCACCCTGTATATAAAGAGTCGTGGATTCGCCGAGCAAGATTTTGAGTTAATCCAACATATGGGGACAATTTTGAACCGTTTTTCTAAAAACGGTATCCATTTAACGTGATAATGATTTTTTTTTAAATAATTTTTAATAATGTAAACTGACTCTCTTATTATGAAACTTTTATATAGGTGATTTTTGGTATATCAGCTCCTTTTCGCGAGTCCTACAAGCAGTTAAAATAAATGACTCAACCTTGAAAACATCCTGTGTACCACCTTGATCAAAAAGTTTCGGGAATGTATTAAAAAAACAATACAAGCTTATTGTTTAAAGTCGATACGGTCCCCTTCAAAATAGTCCCCATTGACTGCAATGCACTTATGCCAACGCGTGATCCAGTCCTCGAGATATTTTTTAAACTAAATGTTAAGTATCTCTATTAGGGCCATCTTCGATTTTTCCATTATCGACTCTCGGCTGCTGAAACGGGCACCTCTCAGTGGCTTTTTGATTCGATTGAACAAGAAGAAGTCACAGGGGGCCAAATCAGGTGGATTGGGTTGTTGAATGGTATTCGTGTTGTTTTTTGCCAAAAACTCACGGATAATTATGGCATTGTGCGATGGTGCGTTATCGTGGTGCAAGATCCACATGTTGCTTGCCCACAAATGCTTGCGCTTTTGATGGATTGATTCACGCACATGTCTCAAAACACGCAAATAGCACTCCTTATCGACAGTCTGACCTTCTGGCAAGAATTCACTATGGACCAGGCCGTAGTAATCCATTAAAACCATGAGCATTACCTTCTTTTTCGACTGGAAATAACGCGGTTTCTTCGGCTCATCCGGGGCGCGCCATTCACTCGCCTGATGTCTTAACTGCGTGTCGCATCCTTGAACTCTTGTCTCGTCTCCAGTAATGATGCGGTTCATAAATGATTGGCGAGAATCAGCCATGGAAATCATGTCTTTGGCGATATCAACACCGTCAGTTTTTGCATGAAATTCAAGTATTTTGACACAAGTTAACTGCAACACGACGGGGACCCAAATCGTCGACCAAATTGCTTTGAATGGATCCATAAGCAATGCTCAAGTCCTCTGTCATTTCTCTGATAGTTAATTTGCGGTTGGTGGCAAAATTTTCTTCATTTTGTCAACGTTTTCTTCTGTTTTCGATGTCGATGGATTGCCGCTGCGCTCATCATCGGCCATGGACTGACGACCTTATGTGACCCGTCGAAAACGGCTTTCCTTCAAGGCATCGTTGCTGAAGCATTTTCCTAGCATTTCCAAGGTTCGCGTACCGTTGATATTTGTTTAATACAAAATTTAATGCAAACGCGTTCTTGTTCATTCACATCCATTGTAAAAATCCTAATAAATCGTAAACACGCTCGATGGCGCATGTACTCATCACAGGGAATATCCGTGAAAGTTGGGCACCATAACAAGACAAACATAATTGACAGACGAGTGCTACGAGCGCCACACGGCGACCATTCCGGGAACTTTTTGATCAAGGTGGTAATCCAGAGGTACACGTTGTACGATATATGGGACTTGTAGAACCAGTCATATTTTCTGTTCTGTATCAATCTATTATCTGAATCTGAGCGTTTTTTGATCAAGGTGGTAATACAGAGGTACACCATGCACGATATTTGGGACTTGTCGAACTAGTAATATTTTCTGTTCTGTATCAATCTCTTATCTGAATCTGATCGTTTCCCCAACTGGTTGATTAAACCATATTTATTGTTTTATTAACAGGTCTATCCGATCACGGTGGCGTGGGATGCGAGTCCAAGCGGCGAATCTGCGGGTGAAATCGAGGTGTTTCCAGTCAACCATGCGGTACCGTTCTCGAAAATGCTCACATTTTACAGGATGGAACCATTCACGCTTAGAGCGAGATATTCTGGATCCATACCGTATCCTGATAAAGAAATAGGTGAGTGCTGATTTGTCAAGTATTTGTTACATCTCAATTTTTTGACGTCTCCAACGCCAGTCATTCTACGCACATATTAGGTATATTTCACTCATCAAACAGGTTCCCGTACATTTACCCTTAAAACTTTTAAATATGTCCTACAGTCGGGTGTCGATACGTGCGACGTGGTCCCCCGATGGACAAGCGTCGTCGTCGGTGGTCGAACTTCACAGTCGGCAATCAGTTTCACACTACTGTGGCCGGAAGCAGTGTGCACCATGCACACTGCTTCCGCGGAATTGGTAATCGAAACGATGATATGCACCTGCAGCAGGACGGTCATTTAACTTTTTGTTATACATGTTAAATTAATACTTCCGAAAATATTGTTTTTAAAAAACTTTATTTCCAAAAACGGTACAAGACGGACTTCTAGAGGAACCTTGTCGGGTAGCGCACGTAAAACATGAAGGTGTTAGACCAAAAGTGACAAGTTTCTCTCACACATGAATCGAGTACAGTACAGTAAAACATGATAAGGATGTTACATGAGAACATCTAGCTGGGCGCGCGATAACATTCCGGCGCCGCATCTTAGTTCGTAATAATCTAAGGGCCGGATCGTCAGTCGTTCCAACAATCTTGAAGCAAATCTCACTGAGCTTTATTTAAATTCTGGTACTATCATTTTTGGTGGAGACATCAATATTGATTGTTTGAACAATCATGTTGAGGCCTTTCATAACTGTAAGATGTTATGGACCAAATTATCAGAGATATTGATAACGGCAATACAGCGGTTCTTGTATTGCTTCATTACACAAAGGCATTTGATACAATTAATCACCAGTTGACGTTTTCTATTTTAAAATACATGGGATGTTCCGTTAATGCTATTAAACTATTCCTCAAGGCTCTATCTTGGGTCCATTACTTTTTTCAGTATACTTTGCAAATATTACTAGTAGTTTGAGATATTCAAAGCATTATTTATATGCTGATTATACCCAGATAAAATTTTCGTTCTCTCGTACAGATACAACAACTGCAGTTACATTATTAAATGAGGATCTTAGTAATTTGACAAATGAAAACATCAAGAACGTGCGCTCATCCGAGAAACAAATATTAAATAACAGATTTGCATTGTTGATTAAACGTAGGGACCTTAATTCGCAAAACTCCAACCCTTTGTACTGTTGAACGTGTAAATCCTAAAGAAGTAACCAGTCCACGAGAGCTTCGGGTGTTGTCAAGTGGAACATGTCCCAAAACTGCTATTTCTGCGGCTTGATTTAGAACTGGTCATTTTCTTGCTGGCGACTACGGCGAATATTAGACACAGATCCAGTTTCTTCAGATTTTGTTATCAACTCAGCATCATACTTATCGTTAATATTTTTGTCTGGATGTAATGCATCAAACAACTGGGCAGTAGCTCTTGCAATGCTCCCATTTTGGTAATACAGTTTTGTTATTTCTACCCTTTCTTGAATTGAATAAGTCATTGTTCAATATTTATCACAACTAAGTAGGTAACTCCACAATTTGAAGTGAAACACAAAGTTTTTCTATGACATACAATGACACTGACTGATGCTAAATGTTGTTGCTGGTATCCATGATTATCATTTTTTGCCGTGCATTCCATTATTATCAGTATTAAGTTAGTCGAATTTTATAAAAAACTCAAATTCACAACTATTGAATATAGGTATAAACTTTATTGTATAAAAGTTACTGAAAACTTCATGGAACATGTAAAAATTAAAAAAATGGTGGTGTCCAGTTAAAAATCTAAAGTGTAACGCAATGTCTTATTTTTGGATCACCTTGTATTGTACGGCTATAGATAAAAAGACGCACCCTAGAAATCAAAATTGGCGTGTCCGTGCGTTTTTTCCAAAAATATACCAGGAGAGTCACGAATGGGGGTGCGACCTTTTCGTTGGGCCACCCTGTATGACCGTGAACCTGTATGGTACCACGCTAAGTTTCCATTGAACCAGGTTCAAACTCGAACCTCGGTTAAACCGGGTGGTACAACCGGCCCTAAAAGGCTTCGTGGGTTTGACATGTGAGGTGTGTCTAGATTTACAGTAATGGACCAAAGTATACAGACAAATATGAATATTTACCTAAATAGCTTTAGGAAATGAATTCATACTTCATTGCTCCATAAACAAATGCGTTATTTGTAGAAAAACTAAATTCCTTGTTTTTACATTATCTGCAATGAACACAAGTCTGAATATAAGCACTTTTTTATGAGGGACAAAAATATGTAGACAAATTGTTTTCAACATTAGTTTAGTAGTTTCGTGTCAGAAGAGGATTAGTTTGTGTTCATCAAGTATTGTGGAATAAGTTGAGTGATTTTAAGACCATGCCGCGTTGTCCAGAAATTTCTTTCAATGTGAAAACTAAGATCATTGAGTTATACTCCTACAAAGATGGTCAACGTCAAGTCGACATTGCTAAAAATTTGAAGCTGAAGCGTAAAGCAGCAATATTGAACAAATATAAACAAAAAGGTATCTTGGAAGCCTCTAAGAGAAGTGGTCGGCCTATAAAACTAAATGCTAGATCAGTTAGATTAATAAAAGTAATTTCGTACGAAGATCCGTTTAAAACCCCAAGACAAATAAAAGCCGAAATCGAGACAAAAGGAATTGTCACTGTTTCTACGAAAACTATAAGTAGAAGATTAAATGATTTGAAGTTATTTGCACGTCGCCCGAGTAAGAAGCCGCTAATCTCGATGAAAAACCGTAACGACCGATTACAATTTGCACGGTTGCATCTTGATTGGAGCATATGTGACTGGAAGAGGGCATGTTTCAGTGACGAATCCAAGGTCAATATGTTTGGATCAGATGGTGTTCATTACGTTAGACGTCCAAGTGGACAAAGATTTAACCCCAAGTACACTTTGCCCACTGGCAAACATGAAGGCGGGTCTGTTATGGTTTGGGGGTGCTTTTCGGGGTTTGGGATGGGACCTTTACATAGAATAGATCGCATTATGGATAAGTTTGTAAACACAGACATACTAAAGCATGTCGTGTTACCCTATATGGAAGACAATATGCCTTTAAGATCAATCTTACAGCAAGATAATGACCCGAAGCACACTTCAAATCTCGCAAAGAAATTCTTTCTGGATGAAAAAATACCAGTTCTCAAATGGCCTTCATAGTCTCCCGATATAAACTCCACTGAAAATCTATGGGAATACTTAGATAAGCAAATACGAGATAAAAATGATTCAAACAAGGATGAACTTTTTGCCGCTTTAGAGCAAAAGTGGATACAGATTGATGAATCTTATATCAAGAAACTTCTACAATGCTACAAAATATTAACACAAACATGGTTGGTTTTCTATAATTCAATATATAATATTCATAGTTTTTTCAATTAATTTTTTATTGAAGGGAGTCTAATGAATTTATTTATGTATAAGTGAGTATTATGCTATAACGAATCATGTATACAGGTTGGTGTATTAATAAAACAAGTTAAAAAAGAAATAACACAATATTAATTTGTCTATATACTTTTGTCCATTACTGTATATTGATATAACATTCTCTTCTGTTACTACTGTCGGGTTGTTTGTATTTTTTTTAAACGTACTTTTTTATTTAATCATTACGTGTGTTGTTTAGGCAAATGGGTGATAAAAGACATCCGGCCGAACGCGGACGGCAAGCCGCAAAAGGTGAAGGTCAAGGCACGCGTGAACCTACATGGCATCATGACCATATCCAGCGCCTCCCTATTCGAAGCGAAGGAAACGCCCGAACCGGAAACTCCAGAAGAGCAACAAGCGGCCAAAGGTGGCGAGCAACAGCAAGAGACTAACGCCGAACAGCAAAACGGCCCCCAGCAACAGCAGCCGAACGATGTGGACATGGATGGTCAGCAACAACAACAAGGGGGAGCTGCTCCAGAGGTAGGATCCGGCTCCAGTTGGACGAAGAGAATATCTGCCTGGTTCAGCGGGGTACGCATTATGTCCCGAATACGCTGGCCTGGCGATACAGGACACGACCCGATGTTCAGTCCACGATGTTTTCTTTTTATGTTGTGTAGCGACGCTAGGTTCGATACGAGAACTGATCAAAACTACGGTCTTAGTACGAAATTCTTGGCAGTGACTCGTCGCTGTTACCTATGGCAGCTGCGGGGGCTGGAGTTGAGGAGGGGTATTGTTCCATGTACGTGCGAAATAATTTTTATAAAAGGTTTGCACATTGATTTTGGGCACCATAAATTAAAATCATTTTCACTCTTTCGGCTAGTGCGTAAACCATTTTGGAAGTAAAATCTCAATCAATTAATTTTCACTATCCGAACATTGTCACAAAGGTAACTGACAGTAAATTAAATTCTTTCCCTTACCAACTAACAACTAAACAGGTATAACAATAAATACAGTTCGCCCAGGATATCTGTGTTGATGAAAAGAATGCGGAAAAAAATCGGGTTGTTATTTGGTTGTTGTCACGTCTAATCTCCCTAACTTGCTGTTTATGTTGGTAGTTTCCGTTTTAAATTATAAACGAATTGTAGATTTGGCAAACCCTAACGGGCAACATTTTGAACACTTATTGAAATAAAAAGGGATATTTTCGCGTGTTTTTGTTTTCTATCTGAAAAAATTAAGATAGATGAAGATTTTTCTCATTTTCTTGAAAACGAATCGACCGATTTTAAAAAATCAAACGTCAAAATAAAGGACTTCGAAATACCTTTGGGTGAAAGGGGGTGAAGTGGTTTTCGATAAATCCGTGGTGGGAAGTTTTCAAATGAACTATATGCTAAATGACATAGAAAATGCAACACCGACTAGGATTGCTGTAATTTTAAGCCTACTTTTACAAGTTTTAGGTCAATCACAAATATATCACACAATGCACCTGGCCATATCCCCTGCAAGATGTGCAGGTACAATTATAATAAAAAACACTGTATAGTCATGACATAGAAGAAGTCCAGACTTACCTGTAGGTGCTTTCACTCCTATAGAAAATCCATCCTTGAAGGCCTGTCGACGACTGGTAATATTCATATCTTGTCATACCTTTGCCATCGTGTATCCTTCATTCATCGAGGTTTCATCAATATAATATATCTTTCTATTTCCTCCTATGTACTTCCGCATTTACGCTAAGTACTTATGTCACCATATTACAACTTCTTCTGTCTCAGTCAAACATGACTTCCTCGTCCGCTTTAAATACCTAAAGTTCAACTCATGAATCGTTCTTTTTAAAACCTTCATAGAAGTGTGAGGAATACTGTCGTGTCCTTTTCAATTTCAACGGCAATTTTCTGTATGGTAGGCAAAAAAAAAGAATATATGTATGTGTCTGCGAACGGCATATCTGGTATCCTTATCTAGAACGAGATTCTTGACACTTTTGTCAGGATGCTACAAAGCAAAACAGCATCATGGACACTTAATGTTTTGTTTCGCGCACGAAGCCCTTCGTAAACGTTGTGTATAAACTCTCTGTCCTCAGTAGAAAATGTTCTATGGGTTTTTTTTTTGTGTCAAACTTTTACTTTGCCCGTCCATTATTTGTCTCTTCGATTCTAAATCACTATATAATCATGTTCGAACTATTCTCCTTAGGAGATGCCACTGGAATGATCGGAGGGTTGTCATGTTAACAGTGCGGTAAGGGGTGTGGAGATATACACCAATCGCGATCGTCGTCTGCCCGACTCCTGACAGGGTTGTCATGTTGTTATTTTAGTCGGGAATTCCACGTTTGGAATTACCCAACTGACGTTGTACGAATTCCTTGTCTGACGACAGTCAGGGTAGAATTTTTACATTGTGCCATATTCATAGACCTACTACTGTTTGTTTGTCCATCTGAATATGTGTCTTACTTCTTACTAGTTTTAGATCATATAGTTTTTTAAAATGGATAGGTAAATTTATTTTGAAATCTGGCTACTACGGTTTTTCAGCAGCATGCGTGAGTCACTGCCAACAATTTCGTGATCAGAAATAAAATTCCATTTTTACGATATAATAATAATAATTTATTAGTCCTATATGATCACAGATGTGATATAGGATAAGTCAGAGCACTACAAAAGCTAATAACAAATCATGTTAGTGTGGACGCACACATATTCGTACCACATATGGTATATTCCAAATATAGATACAGATAAATCAAATTAGCTTATTGATAAAATTTATAAATATAAAACATATATGTATATATAAAAAAAGCGAAATAAAGGACAAACCATTAAATGGCATTCAAACAACAATGATCAAAATCAAACAAGACATTCACACATTAAAAATTCCTCAATAGAGTAAAAAGCTTTCTCCAGTAAAAACTGTTTGACTGTTCTTTTAAAAGTGTTCAGTGGTTGTGATTTCAAATTGTTGGGGAGTCTGTTGAAAAACTTAATAGCCATGTATCTAGGGCTCTCCTCCGTTCTCGCTTAATATTCGGTCCTCAATGTTTTCTTACGTGCACTGCAAATTCTTGATGAATTGGTTCTAAGATTTCAGAAGACAGAACTACTGAAAAAACATCATTTAGGAGCGGTGTAAAAAATATATAACATCAAAAAATACGCGTGTCTTTGATAAAGTTAAGTGTAACTGCGTTATACAGGGTTATCCAAATTAAGTGTCCACCATTAGTAACTTTGTTATTAGTGAAAATACAAAGTTGTTTGAATTAGCAAACTAGTAGCATTTTTAACGCTGGTAAAAATGAGAAATAAAAAAAAACAATTGAGAGTCGTTATTTTGATTTTTTTCAGTAAAATAACATTTTTTTAAATGGAAACCCTTGTATATTATATTTTTTTCTGTTAAAGCATCAAATTTTAAACAAAAAAGCTTACAATAACTTTTCTCCTAGGTTACAAATTGTTGAAGTTATGGCCTCCAATCTGAAACAATTAAATTGTATCGACAAACTTTATTTTCAACATCAACTTATAATCTTACAAAATACAATAACAATTTTTTTTAAAGAAGATGCTCGAAAACACCACCTTGTTCTTCAATACATTTTTGGGCACGTTTTTCAACTGCTCGAACTGTCTTAAGTATGGTCCTACCATCTATCTGGGTTATCTTTTCCCTAACTGCAGTCTTTAACGCGTCAAGGTTATCGTACCTTCGCTTGTAAATTTGGTTCTTTAAGTAACCCCACAAGAAGTAATCAAGTGGGTTTAGATCTGGTGATCTGGGAGGCCACTGTATTGGGCCATTTGTTCCTATCCACTGATCATTAAAAGTAGTACTTAGAAAATGATAAGTACCTCTGGAGTTGTGGGCAGGTGCGCCATCTTGCTGAAAATGCAGATGATGTCTACTTATAAGATCCAATTCGTCTAAGAAATTAGTCAGAATTTCTGACATAAATTCCACATATCTTTCACCAGTTAGGGTTCCCTCATAAAAGAACGGGCCAACAATTTTTGAACCAATTATACCGCACCAAACGTTGAAACTGAAACGGACTTGTGGGCCTCTTGGATGTACTAACAAAAGATTTTCTCTTGACCAATAATGGTGGTTTTTTCTATTAAACATTCCAGAATTTGAAAAATTTGATTCATCTGTCCATAAAAGGTAACGAAAGTTATTTACATTTTGGCGACAGAAGCTAAGATACCAATGGCAAAAAACAAGTCTTCTCTCTGGATCCCCTGCCAAAAGCGTTTGAACTGGTCGGTACTTATACGGAATAAATTTGTATTTTTTTAAAATCCTTTGAACAGTACCATAACTGAAATTAGAGTCCTTGAGAATATCTGCTCTTGAATTCTCACGATAAGCTTCAAAATATCCAATAACTGCAATTTCCGTGGCCTCGCTTATTATGAATTCTTTTTTTGCCCTTGTTTTAGCAAAAACATTTTCGTTGCCCCTAATTCGATAAAGTCTCAGAAAATATCGTTCATACGGTTGAATGCGAGCGGGATATAATTCACTGTAGTATTCTCTTGCTCTCAAGGAGGATTTTCTGCACACTAAATAGCATTCTAACATATCACACTTTTCTTCATGGGAGAACATTTTTCTTTAAATTAATGACACAATAAAGCTTATAAACAAGTATTTACACTAATGTTTGACATTATTTGATTTTATCATTGTTTTCCAAAGCCTTCTAGTTGCGAGTATGTCCAGTTTAACAATTTGTCGCTTATCTTAATGCTGTCAAATCGCGAACGCCATGTTGTTTTCATAGCCGTCTTAATATTATAATACTGCAAATAATTAAAAATATTTATCGTTATTTTGACTTTATTTTTGACTTTAGCGGAAAAGTCATTATGAACTTTTTTGTTTAAAATTTGATGCTTTAACAGAAAAAAATATAATATACAGTGGTTTCCATTTAAAAAAATGTTATTTTACTGAAAAAAATCAAAATAACGACTCTCAATTGTTTTTTTTTATTTCTCATTTTTACCAGCGTTAAAAATGCTACTAGTTTGCTAATTCAAACAACTTTGTATTTTCACTAATAACAAAGTTACTAATGGTGGACACTTAATTTGGATAACCCTGTATAAAGAATACACATACCCACTTCATATTCAGCGCTCAATGTTTTTTACATGCACTGCAAATTCTTGATGATTTGGTCCTAAGATTTTAAATAACTAGGTAAAACTTCTGAGAAAACATCATTTAGGAGCGAGATTGTTTGTATATTGAAAGCACAAAATGCTACCTCATCAGTGATGGTTCTCGATTATGTATTCGACCTAGCGTTCCTGCACTGTCACCTTAGGACATGACGAACCAGTTTCCGAGTTGAAAAATTGAAACTCATAAAGTTCAGCAGTTGTGGTTATCAAAGTTCTATTTCTGTGCTGAAAGGTTCTCTTACATATTTGGCCGGTTTTTACTATAATTTTACTGTTTTTACTTGAACGAACTTTATTCTTTCTTAGGCAAACAAAAGCATCAATATGATTTCAACAACATACACAGAATACCAATCAAAAGTTACATACATACATACATTGTAAACCCAACAATCATATAGGAAACATCCCTGCATTTACTTGTGTTTACTAAACATATCACTTCTAGTGTCTTTTCTTTGTAATTAAACTCAACACTTTGTTCATCAGAAAAAGTAAAGCCTTACTCTTGCTGTTGTAAGCTTAAAAATTGAGTTGTAACTACTGGAGAGTTTTATGGTTCACCAAACAGTTCAAACTGTCGTGAAGATGCTAACATAGCAAAACACGAGCAACAAAAATCTTGTTTGGCGAGCTCTGGTTTGTTTTAGTATCTTAGCTTCTATTGCAGTTTCGAGTCATGTCAAATTTGTTAAATGATTTTGAACAAGGCTAAATAAATTTCGCCATTCAAGAACTCTGGCAGCTCAAAGGGCACAATGATTCTCCCACTTAAAATATCGGTCCACATGTTTACTTTCAGATGATACTATCTTGTCTCATCAAATGTGGATTTTTTACACGCCAATCGTGTAAGCTGTGTAGATTAGAAGCTTATTAATTTGAAAAGTACACGAAATAGCTTTTTTAATATTTTTCCGAAAACTATTGTGACTTGGCCTATCTCCCGTTTCCGGCTTGACCACGACTTCTGGGACACCCTGTATAAATACATACATGAATGCATTGATGGTGAACATTGGGGATTGTCGTTCTGTCTACTAAAATTACCATTATCGCAGTCCGATTTTAATATGCTAACTGAAGTTATCATTTGATCAAAGCGAATCTTTAATTTCAGACCTTTAGAACAACGCGGGTCAACAGGCCCTGAGGTGACATTTTTATCAGTACTGTTTGCTTGTGTGCATTGATCAATCAGTTTCTGTTGTTTTAAAAACCCCTCGCCATTTGTAAAAACCTATTTTGAAGATTGTAATTATCACAAACAGCTTGGTGTACCATGCTTTACTAACAATTGGTAGTTTGTATGCCCTGAACATTGTTGAGTGACATTGCCTTACAACTCAAGTCGCGTGCATAAATAAGGTGCTAACAGTATAATTTCGATCACAATCAGAGATTTTCATATCTACTAATATCTTGCATTTTAAGTTTTCAAAAATTGGGTTCTGAAATAAAATTTTCAATAGGAGTTCCATTCAAATATTTTCTTTTTGTATGCAATATCAGTGTAAAAAAAATTGTTACTGCTCTCATGCTGCCCACTCACATACGGTTATAATAATAATAAACCGTTATTGATTTTCATGGACAAAGAAATTACGAAGTGTAGCTAATAGCTATTCTACTTAATCACAGCAGAGCTCCCAAATAAGTACACAATTAAAGTAGAACAAATACAAAGAATCGATGAAGTAGACAAGTAAAATATGTGTTAAATGAGGTCTTTCAGAATGATTTGGCATTCACAAAGAAACATACATGTAGTGATAACGCTTTTAACTTTTTACTACCATACAGAACGTACAACTACAGGAGCAGTAAATTTAACTGAACAGGAATAACAAATAATTCAGTTTTAAAGTACTATAATTGAAGTGCTCAGTGCAAAATAGCAACAAGCCACAATAAGTAAAGAAAGTTTCTTTTAAATCCTGAAATCATATTGTGGTTCATTTGATATTAAAATTCGTCAATTATAGTGAATAATTGAAATATTTTCATCTCACTGTGAACAGGTAGTATCGAATCTGTAATATTGCAAAAAAAAGACGGTATTTTTAGAAAAAAATGTGGATTGCTACTTTTTTTAACAAAACATTTTCATTCTTACTAGGGTTTAAAAAAAGTTCAAAATAATTTAAATTTTAGTGCGTCAAATAAGCAACAAAATAAAGTAAGTAGAACAATATTTAAAGAAGGTATTAACAATAAAAGGAACACATAAAACATTATAAATGATCTTGTTCAACAAATAGATTTACTTCTCCATCTATAATATTATGACCACTCTCTTCTTCATTAGCAGTGGCTTCCAAAACACCAATGGTACAGTAAAAACCATGGTGGATTTGTGGAATGTAAGGTAGAATTTTTTTCTTTGTCATATAAACAAAAAAACAAAAACTTTCTCCAATAAATAACAATTTTACTATTTCAACACTTTCCTATTTTTATGTAGGATTTTTTTTGCTAAAAAGGTAATAAGCCACACAATATTTCGCTTACCTACATTTCAGAATCGCCGGTTGTTTCAGAACTAGTACTGGAATATAAATAATCTTTATCTTTCACACTTATACTAAATGAAGCTACAAGAGTTGGAATGACTAAGCACCAAGGTCTCACACAGTTTCCCTTAATTTTTTACTTCGAAAAAGTCGACTGCTATAAATGCTTTATAGTGAACTGAATGCTTTATTTAATAGAGTTTGAGTATGGCTAGAGAAACGCAAGCTTGGATCAATAGTTAAACCTAAGTTACGGGCAGAATCACAGATACCGATTACTTTATTTGATATTTCCAATTAAAATATTTGTTACTTTTATTACCAAAATAAACTTTGGTCTTCTGAGAGGTGAGCTTTAGGTTGTGCTGCTACGTTTTGTATTTAACTCAAAATACCTGCTATGCTTATTATGTAAACAAGGCCCAAGTGTAGATCCTTGTGGCTCCCCTGACAGAATATGTCTAAGGGTCGTATCGTCAGTCGTTCCTACAATATTGAAGGGCGCCTTTATGACCTCCTTGATTACATAGTCGTTACTCTTCTTCAGAAAGGCTGGGTTATTTCTCGATTTGCGTATTAGCGTCAGCGCTCTCTTATTGTGAGGCTATGTTTACTTTTTGTGTTGTAAGAAAATAGATACATATTTGTAACATAACCTCAAAATAGAGCGGCCCCAAGTAAATAGCTCCATATAAAAAATAGTGAGGGATTAGTGAAACCATACGATACCGGGTGGTTCAAATTTGAACCTCACTATTGGGATCTCGGACACGGCAAGAGATACGAAATCGCTTAAATCTTGCGTATTTAGGTAACTAACAAAATGCCACATAGAAAGTCTCGAAAGTGTTTCCGAAGAAAGACGGAAAAACCGAATTGTGTCAAAATCGATTCAATTTTTCCTTGACTTTATTTGTAGTGGGATTTCAAAAAATTGCACATTGACATCCACTGTTTCTCCTCTGCAAGAAGTCATACTTAGAATTTCAATATAACGTTTCGTCTCTTGTCCTCCAGCATCAGCTACGTTTTTAATTCTGATTCAAAAAATGTGTATGTCATACATTGACATTGCTAAACCTCAATGATTCAGAAAAACAGAATTTCTTAGGTCATTTGTTTCACATGCCAGATTTATCACAAAATTATTTTTATTTTCTTTTTACTTTATTTGAGATGGGATTTCAAAATAAATTGCATGTAGTCATTGCTACTTATTCTCATCTTTCAATTCGACATTTCTTCTTTCGACTTCCATCACAAACTTTGTTTTCTCGTATGGATGCTATATTGGAATTTTTTACATTTAAATGGACTTTTCAGTGTGTATTTATGCCTTCTTGTAGAGGAGAAAAACAATGTTGATGTGCTGTTTATTTTAACATCCCAGTACAAATAAAGTCGGGAAAAGATTAAAACGATTTTAGGGAAAATTCGTCTCTCCGGAAGGATTTGAAAACTTTCTAAGTGGCATCTTTTTAGTTACCTAAATAGGTAACACCCTGTATAGTACTTGAGCTTTGAACATAACAGTTGATGATTGATGGTACTATTCGTCATTATTCGTCAGAGCGGTCCGGTGGACCTTTGCCCTTAGTTAAAAGTCTCGTCGGTCTGTTAGTCTGTCAGGTCTGGCTACCCAGATACCAAACATGTTTAAGCGATGATTGATGGTGTCAAAAGCCCTGGAGAAATCCAAGAGCGCTAGACAAACCTGGAGATCAAACGCCATTAAAATATCCATTGTAACAGTAGCTAGTGATGTTTCAGTACGTCTTACCGGATTAACCCAGATTGGCACTCGAGAAGTAGACCATGATTTGAAAAATAGTCATAAATTTGGATATAGAGTTGTTTTTCAAATATTTTTGAAACAGGTAGAAGAGATAAAGGGCTAAGATCGGAGAATCCCAGCGCATATCAAAGAGATCGGGGACTACGAGCCATTACATGAATCACGATTTTCCAGTTCGAGTCGATTTAGTATTGACCCGTAGATCGCACAACTGCCTCTGTGCCACACACGTAAATGATAACAATGTGGTGCTGAATCTGATATTCCTGCAATGGCTCGTCAGTCGGTTATCCATCCCATATGTTTATGGGCATCGTTACTTGATATTTGCTATTTATTACATTAATGACCCTCTGTGCTAAGGTGATTATAATTTTAGCGGTCTTTCTTGCAGGAAGCCGCAGAAAAGGATAAAAAGAAGAAACAAACTGTGAAGAGTATTGAACTTCCGATAGAATCTCTTACATTCGGTTTCTCGAATGTAGAACTTAATCAGTTTACAGAGCAAGAGTTCAAAATGATTGCATCAGACAAACAAGAGAAAGAAAGGGCTGATGCTCGTAATGCGTTTGAAGGTAAGTTTCATTTTTTTAATCATTCTGTTTTTCATTTTAAATTTCACAGTACACTGATGAGCCAAAATATGGATGAAACAGTTGATGTATAGTAAATTCGATACAATATTTCTTGAATCGATCAATAATTTCTGGTGAACTAGCTCATATCAAGAAGGGTAGTCGAATAGATAGATGAATATGCTTTATTGTCTGAAGAATACAATCGTTTTTAATGACAAAGCTAACTTAAAACTAAACTACAGGGTGCGGCAGAGAGGATGGACGGTTTTAAAAAATCATAAAATAATTAATTTTTACTCGAAAACAAATTTATTGATGGAATCAGGTTCACAAGGAAATAGCATTTGAGACATTCAAGTGTGGAAAATCACATCAGGCATGTGGTGGCCGAAATCGTTGATGCAGTGCTGGAGGCGTTCTTGGAAGTCCGCGTAGACTCTCCAAAATCGCTCTCTCAACTTGGGTGAATTTCGCCCTTCAATTCGTCCAGAGTTCGGGGCTTGTTCGCGTATACCCTCGCCTTGAGGTGTCACCCTGTAGTTGTGTTAGTTTTTAGAAACTATCTTAATCCTATTTGAACTATGTTTTCTATTACTTTTGCTAAAACAGTTGAACTTATGGGTCTATAATTTTCTGGTAAATGCCAATATTCAGTTGATTTCTTGATTGTCAAAGTTTATAAGATTGACGGTTGTTTTTTCTTCAGAATACGTGTACGAGCTGCGAAACAAAGTGTCATCTGAGGACGAGCTGGCTCCTTATATTCTAGAGAAGGACAGAACGTCACTGGTGACTCGACTGGACGACATGGAGAACTGGCTGTACGAGGAAGGAGAGGATTGCCACAAGCAGGTCTATGTGGATAAGCTAGCCTCGCTGAAGGAAATTGGGGATCCGGTTCACAGCAGACGGTACGAGCACGAAACAAGACCTGGACAGGTGGAAGAGTTCGCTAGGTCTCTGCAACTTACCATGAAGGCTCTCGAGCAAGTCAAGTGAGTAGTAGTAGTAGAAAGATTTATTTCACACATTGATTTATTTATTTACTCATGTTTGGGGTGCAACAGAATGTGAATTCCAAAGACAGCACCCGCTGCTTACTATAGTGATAAAATAAAAAGATACATAGATTACAAAATCCAGAAGATATGAAAATCTGTAACACAAGCTTACTGTATGAGAATAAACAATACTATGATATAGCAACTACTATAAAACGATATAAATTTAAAATTTAATTTTTTTTTTAAATTAGCATGTATCAGTTACACTATTCCATGAATCGCACTCTAGTCACCAAAAAACACAAACGCAGAGCACGTTACTAGATAGCTTTGATAACAAAACATATAAAATACTGTATAAAAGTATTAATGGTTGACAACAGTATCACAGCAAACAATTAGATGGTATGATACGATAGTAAGCTGCCTCCTTACCGTTGCTTTAAACTTGTTAAAATTAACCACAAGAATGTCCAAATTTATAGAGGTATCGTTAAACACCCTCTGGGCCCTAATTACAGGTGAGTTGACTCTTAAATTCGTTCTACAGAAGGGAATCCTGAAAAACTTGGAATCGCGGTAGTTTCTATCTGGCACATTAATATTTATTTTTAAAAGCAAATAGGGACAGTCAAAATTGTTGAATATTTTGTGTATAAGACACACGTCGGACATCATTCTTCTACTTTTTAAGGTAATGATATTGAAATGTTGTCTAATATGATCATAGTTTCCGTCACGTACCGGATTGCCGATTTTAAAACTTAATCTCTTCAGGAATCTATTTTGTACACTTTCAAGTCGATTTATGTATGTAATATACTGAGGGTTCCATATAACGGAAGCAAAGTTCAACTTGTTATAAATATATGCATAATATAGGGATGTCATGGCTCTTGCACTCTTGAAATCCCTGCAGATTCTACAGATAAATCCCAACATTTTGTTTGATTCGCAAATCAAGTTTTCTATGTGTGGTTGGAAAGTCATTTTTGCATCTAGGAGGACTCCTAGGTCCTTCACTGTATCCGCTTCCTTCAAAGGTGTATTTTTGATTTGGTACCGGTATTCTATGAGAGATTTGTTCCGGGAGAGTCTAATAAAAGTACATTTAAAAAAGAAATCATTATTGTCACAAAAATTGACAAAAGTATCTATATCACTTTGGATTTCTTTACAGTCATTAATGTCTCTCACTGTATGGAATATTTTCAACTCATCGGCGTATAATAGACAATTTGCATATTTAAAGGATTTCTTTAAGTTGTTGATAAAAATTATAAATAATAAAGCAGCGACTTGAAACCGTTGATAGCTACAATTTGCTTACGATTAGTAATGTAAGACCATATCCAATGACATAGTGCATCGTCGACACCAGTCTCAACAAGCCTTGCAACCAGCAATTCATGATTTATTTTATCAAAAGCCTTGCTGAAGTCGGTGTATATGCAATCGACTTGAGTCTTGCTATCTAGGGCTTCACAAATATAATCAGTATAACACAAAATATTAGATTCTAGGAAATGGTTTGGAAAAAATCGGTGCTGTTCGTCGATTATTATCTTTTTTACTGATGGAATTATTAGGTTGTAAACAACTTTTTCGAGCAACTTTGCAAAAGTGCACAGACCACTGATAGGTCTATAATTAGTTACCAGTTGTTTATCTCCATTTTTGAATATCGGAAGTATATGTGCAACCTTCCATTTAGTAGGGAAATATTTTAGTTTTAGACTTGCGTTAAATATAATCTGTAAAGGTACACATATACTTTCCGAACATCTTTTAATGAAAATGGGAGGGATGTTGTCGGGTCCTGAACCTTTGTTCTTGTCAATATTACAAATGAGATTTTTGACTGTCTATAAAGGCAATGAGTATGAAATGCTATGATTTCCCTTCACTTTTAGAGGAACTAACTTTTTAGGTTCAACAAAAACGCTGGAAAAAAATTCCGAGAATAAGTTGCACACATTTTCACCATCACGAGCAATTTTATCTTTATAGTAAACTGTGCTGGGTGATTTTTCTTTTTGCTGGCAACATATTTCCAAAAATTTTTGCTGTTTAAAACTATTTCTTCTTCAATGTTTTTCACATACTCTATGAAATCCTTAGTTATCATTTGTTTTGACCGTTTCCTTAATTCACAGAATTCCTGATAGTAGCGAGGTTCTTTATAAGATCTGTATTTTTTATGAAATTTGTTTTTTTCTTTGATCTTCTTGATCGTATCGTGCTTAAAATAAGAGGGAAAGTTCCCTCTTACTTTAAATGTAGGTACGTTTGAGGCTATTGCTGAGTTTAGTTTTTCATAAAAAATATCAACCATTTTGTCCAAGCTATCGACATCGAACAACTTGACCCAGTTTATATTGTTAAAAAATGAATTTATAGCTGCGTAGTCTGCTTTTTCAAAGTTGTGAACAGTACGGTTCTCTTGAGGACAACAAGCTGAGCCTTTTGTTGGAATAAAAAAACTCGATAGCAGGATGATGATTATCCTCATTAACTAAACTATCGGTGGCATGCAATATATTTGAAATCACACCTTTATTGGAGAAAATTAGATCTAGCAATTTATTGTTGCAATTAGCTATTGAATTAAATTGTACCATTTCTAGGTATGTAAGAGTATCGATGAGAGTGGCATATTTATCTTCTACTCCTTGAGGCTCCAAGTAGATACAATTTTGTACTGGAACCCAATTTATAGATGATAAATTGAAATCACCTGTTATTAGAACCGAGTTTTTTTGGAAAATATTTTCATTGTTCTGTAATTTACTATGAAAATATGTATGACTAGCTATGTCGTAAGGAGGCAAGTACACACAGCAAATGAAAACAGTTTCACTATTCTTAGGACCAACTGATATCCACATATCCTCGGCCTCAGATTCTAGTTGCTGACATCTTCTTGATTCCAGGGTCTTTTTTACGGCGATCACTACACCGGCACCATCTTTTTTATTGGAACTGGTTGTTTCTCGATCTCTTCTATAAATATTATAGCTATCAGTGAATAGCTCATTGTTGAATACACCTGATTTTAACCATGTCTCAGTCAGACAAATTACTTCATAATCAGCTGCGTGCATATTATTGTGGAAAATTGTTGTTTTTGACCGAAGGCCTCTCACATTTTGATAATATATGCTCAATTTTATACTTTTATCCATTAAAAACAGGGACTATTATCTAGATGACATAACCTAAATGTTTATTTGATATTTTGAATTGCTTCATCACTACTAATGTGAATAGTCTTGGAGGTATCATCTTTTCTAACAAGTATCTGTCCACCTTTGGTCCATACGAATTTATACTTTTTATTTTTAGCAACTGTTCTTGCTTCTTTGAAGAGTATCTTGTTTGCCAAAGTAAGATGCTCATTAAGATAGACAGTCTCGGAGAGACCTGTGATGTTCATTCTAGGTGAACCATTCTCTCGCTCATTTCTTTTGATTTTGGCAGATGCTAGTAGGTTTTCTTTCACTGTCCTGGTGGTAAAGCGGACTATTATATTTTTGACGGAGTTCCTATTAGACTGGACGCGGTGAACGTAATCAATCTGTTCTGTACTGACATCATAATTAATGTAGTTTCCGATTTTTTTAACAACTTCGATCATGTTTTCGTTCTCTTTTTCAGGAATTCCTTGAATCTCAATGTTGTTGGATCTAGATGCTTTATCCAAGTCATTGAGTCTTTTTTAAGATCAGTAACTTCTGTTTTAAGTCCAGATTTTCTTGCATTAATTTTTCTGTTTTGCGTATGTATTCATCAATATTTAACAGTTTTGCTTCAAAATCAGAAACCTACAAAAGGAAACCGAAGATACTAGTGAGTTTTGCTGCTCCCGTATTAGGCGTAGTTCCAATTTAATATCTTGCATTGCGCTTACCATCCAGTCATCGGTACTAACAGCTGTGCCCATGCCGTTACCAGCCTGAGATAACATCGGGGTAAGTGTGGAAGGTCTCGGCGAACGCCTCGACGATGTCCTCTCGGCAGTTCCGGCAGACCCAGGTTACACCGTCTGCTCGTAGACTGTCTAGATGTTTTGTTGACAAGTCGAGACATGTGGCATGATAAAAACCCTTACCAAAACGACTACACTGTAGGCCAGGATTTCTGCGATTCACGGAATCGTCACAGATTTTGCATAGTTTATCAGCCATCCTATCAGTTTTTACTTTGAGAAGCAATGACCGTAATTCGTGTTGCTCTTGTAATTTCCAGATCAAAAGACCCAAAATACGCCCACCTGACCGAAGAAGACGTGAAAAAGGCGGACCAAGCATTCAACCATGCCTACCAATGGCTGGAGCAGACACGTCAGAAGACGGCCAGCGCCCCGCTTCACCTATCTCCGTCTGTCACTGTGGCGCAGATTAGGCAGGAAAAGACCAACTTTGAGAACACAATTAACTCCGTGTTGAACAAACCAGCGCCCAAGGCTCAGACACCACCGAAGGAGGAACAGGTATGGTGTGTGAATTCTTCATTTTAAAATTATTACATATTTCAAAACATTCTTTGAGTACATGTTCCAATAAAGAATTTCTGACTCTGAGGGAGTGTCATACAAATTATTGGATTGGATGAATAATTGTAAAGTTTGGTTTTATTGTTGTTCAAAGGGATATTTAAAGCATGGACGCATAAAATGGATACACCAATTTTCGTGGGAAAACTATTTATTCAACAAAGAATAAAACGAGTTTTATGGGATTCAATCAAAAGTATTTGTAGATACACAAAAACTCTTCAAATTAGATTTTTAGGTATTTACGAGACCTACAAAATGACAGCACATATAAAAAGATATAAACCAATAAAAGTTATGACCGAAAACATAGACAAAATGCAGGCTTTGGCACTTGTTGGTAATGCGACAATTGTGTCAGGCAAATACTTTTCTCAGATCGGTAGGCTTTATATTTTTGAATAACTACAACAAAATTGGAGTCGATTAGTCCAGTAGTTTTTGAGAATTTCTAATTGTTTATCCCAAAACACCTGCTTTCCGGCCATCACTACTAGTTTATTGAGCAATATACAGAGTTACTTTAAAGGGCATTTTAAAGCAAAATACACTAGTTTACTTTGCCGATATGAATCGCAAACGATTTCGGAAGATAAATGTTATTTTTATGCAAAAAAGGATTGGTTACATTTTTCTCTTCTAAACAAATTCAAACATTTCGTATATGGGAGTAACTGAACAGATGCAGATCACCTTTTACTGCGAAGAAAAACATTTTTTTTTTCAAGATTTCTTCATACCCTTGTGTATTATGCACATTGAGAGCAGAAATTTTCACACGGTCACAGATGAGCCTTTCTAAAAGTATTAATATAGTATACGCCTGTTTTCGAAATCTCTTACGATTAAAACGGCTGCGAGTTCAAAATGTTGGAAAATAAACTCGAAAAAACTTGCATTAATAAAACCAAACTTTACAAATATTTCGCAAATCAGGGGTATTTTTGTCTAATATGATTAGACTATGTCTGACTTCCATGCCTTTATTTTTTAATGACAATGTTTATGAAGTATCCCTGTAGTTTTTCGAATCTGATTTATATACAGGGTGTAAGCGTTATGATAGTCATTATTTAAATGGGTGATAAAGGGGGTTAAAAGAAGCTAACAGTTTCATATAACGTGGGGGTCAGAACGGCATTTTTTTTAGAGAAAAGCGACTTTAAAATAAAATCTGAAAACGTCGCAATTCCAGACGCAAATTACGACGGAACGCAGTGTAAATAAAGATGGAGTTTGTTATTTTTGGCTCTTAGGTATTATTTCATTATTTGATAATGTACTTGTAAAATGCAAACAATTAAAAAAACTGACTTACCACTAACTGTCTCAGCGCTTCACCTGGTGTGTGAAAGTTTATTGAACACACTTTTGATACATACATTGTTTTTCTTTTTAAAACCCACACTGCGCTTTTTTGTAGTTAAAGGTGTTCAAAATGTCGTTCTCCACTTTCCACACTTCATTACAACGAACACAGTTTCTTCTTACTCTAGGTCCTCGAAGTTGTTCATTTATTATCACAGCCGCATTAAATTTTTTTTCGTGAAGTTGTGCTTTAGTTGTTATTGGACCAGCCCCCATAAACCCTTTAAGTTCTCCCCAATACCAGAAATCCATCGGATTGAGATCTTGCTGGCCATTTTCAAGGATCATGAGCATTTCGACCGATCCAGCGATTTGGATAATGTTCATTCAAATACTGAATGACGCCTCTAAAAATGTGTGGTGGCGCCCCGTCATGAAGAAACCACAAATTCTGTCTCCGTTCTAATGCCATGTTGTCTAAGGTCTGTTCCAAAAGTTCTGGTATGTTATTGGCTAGAAAGCTAAGGTATCCTTCTCCTGACCACATTGGGGGTAACTCGAAAGGGCCAATTACCTGATCGTCGAGAATACCCGCCCAAATATTTATTTTAAAACGTTGTTGGAAATGACCTTCACGAATGGTGGTATTATGGAAATTTAATATCCCCTCTCGCGTAAAAGTACATTCGTCCGTCGCTAGAATGTTTTTTAAAAAATCCGGATTTTCAATGTTTTTGTGCAAAAAACACCGACAGAATGTTAGTCTGCAAGGATAGTCTTCTGGCAACAAGGCCTGCACTCGTTGTACATGGTAGGGATAAAGCAAATTTTCCCGTAGGATTCTATGGACTATGGGCGGTCTAATTCCCGAGTGCTGATATCTGCATTGATTTCCACGATATTTAAAATTTGTTCCTCCTGCTCTACAGTAACCTGTCTTTCACGAGTGCGAATATTAGTGGGCTGAACACTTCCTGTATCTCGAAGTCTTTGGTACACTTGCACAAATGTCCTACTGTCTGGGTGCACCCGTTGGCGAAATCTGTCACGACAAATTTGAACTGCAAGATTTGAATTCTGACGAGCTTCACCGTAAACTAACAACATGTCGGCGAACTCTTGTTTCGAGAACATTAACTAACCACTGTTAGCGTTTGCGATCGATTGCCGGTACGATAACAGTGATGAATGACCGACGCGCTGTGGTCATGTGTGTTTTAAATATTAATTTTTCAATTCCTGCACTAGTTGAAGTTTATATGGGTGCAATTTAAGGTCCCTTACGAAAATATGCCTTATTATAACGAGCTCAGCTGATCTCTTTCGGGATGATAACGGTGGATCGCTACGTACGGACATCGCAACTTTGCTTACAGTTTCCTCTGTTCGTATTGACTTTGGACGCCCCGCAGGTTTGTGATTCATGCAAACCAAACTCAGAGTGAAACATACGGCGCGCAATAGTGCACGAATCTCCATTTTTGTAATAAGCCTTAACACAGAATGCACGCTGCTCACCGGGGAAACGCTCCATGGCAACTAAATTTCCGAGCCCCAAACTACTTATTCCCACTACCCGTGTCCCGCTCCCGCGTGCCTGTTACGACGAGCAATGCGGTTTTGAAATTCGTACGTCTTTCTTTTCCACCCCTTTCTTTGATGAAACCTCCAGTTTTGCTTTATTTATAAACTAGAAAAAACATTGCCTTGTGTATAGTTGTGGTGACCATTCTTGGCGGTTACGTCATCAACGCCATATGAAATAAGTTAACAGATCGAGTCTCCGTACCATGGGCGCAGACTAATCTTCAGCGCATCTGCTACTCTCTCCGGTACGCATGAAGTTGATAACAGAGGACCGCTGTTTTCATTCTCTTCTTGCAAAAACTCCTAATTCCTCGGCCTTCTCCATTGATCGTATTTCCGAGCATTGTACAATTTTATATTGAAGATTAATAACAGAATGAGTCAAGTAAGTTGTCACTCTGACAAATATGATTAAAGGGCACTCGTACGTAACGACAAAGTTTTCGAGACGGAGACGCACAACTAAAAAACGTATGTCTTTGAGCTTACCGAACAAACTTTCACACACAGGGGTAGGTTGCATGTGTATGTATGCGGGAGATGGAGATACAGTAATGGACAAAAGTATATAGACATTAATATTGTGCTGTATTTCTTTTTTAACTTGTTTGATAATACACCAACCTGTATACATAATTCGTTATAGCATAATACTCACTTACACATAAATAAATTCATTAGACTCCATTCAATGAAAAATTAATTGAAAAAACTGAAACTATGAAGGTCAAAAATATATAGACAAAGCAAAACAGTTATATAAAAAAGAAGCAAAGTTCATGAATTATAGAAAACCAACCATGTTTGTGTTAATATTTTGTAGCATAACCATTATTATCAATCACCGCCTGGGATCGTCTCGGCATAGATTGTAGAAGTTTCTTGATATAAGATTCATCAATATGTCTTTACTGTTGCTCTAAAGCGGCAAAAAGTTCATCCTTGTTTGAATAATTTTTATCTCGTATTTGCTTATCTAAGTATTTCCATAGATTTTCAATGGGGTTGATATCGGGAGACTGTGAAGGCCATTTGAGAACTGGTATTTTTTCACCCAGATAGAATTTCTTTGCGAGATTTGAAGTGTGCTTCGGGTCATTGAAGTATGAATTCGTTTTTTAAAGGTATTTAGGAAAATATTCATATTTGTCTATATACTTTTGTCCATTACTGTATATAAACTGATACTAGTAGTATTACTTTGACCCGCCAAGAACGGTGACTATACTACTGTAGTAATTTTAGGCATATTAAATATGACCCTTGTTAACAGAAAACTGGCGGAGACCAACAGCAGCAGCCCCAACAGGAACAGAACGGACAACCTCAACAGAACAGTGATAAGCAGCAGGAGAACATGGAATGGTCCACTACAAATTAGAAAGACAGCGTCTAGGTGTTATTTTTTAATTTTCCATTTTTTAAATTAATCCTTGTGTATTTCCGATTCGGGAGGATGGTGCAACCATTCCTCTCGATCTGCGTGAGTGGTTGCAAAATTTGATTAGGATTTAGATCAAAAATACCGTTTTAAAGCATTTGATGCAATTATTTGTTTGCCAGAGCATGAATTTGGTTTACTTAAAGCCATCAAAACAGCGCCAATTTATTTAAAATATAACTATTTCAATTCAACTAATATTCTTGTCATAGTGTCAGTTTGTATGTGTCTGTTAACTCGGAAACCTGACATCGTTAAGGAAAAGGGAAGAAAAAGAGAGAAGGAAGGAGAGGGTAAAGAGGAAGAAGAGACTCTTTTAGGACAGAGAGGGCTTAGGCATTGTTAAAATCACTTGACAAATTTTGATGTGGTCCAAAAATTGTTTTTTTTTGTAAGGGTTTTATCAAAATACTCTAATTTTGTTTGTAAGAACACTTATTAATTTTTAATTTGGTGTATACAGGGTACGTTAGAATGTTTGGGACATTTCAAAAAAGAATTGGTATGAACACAGGTCCGCAATAGAGCAGATTTCAAGCAGCGTTTTTAATATGATAAATAGGTTCAATTTCTTTCTGTGGTGTGCGCACTGAAAATATTTTGTAAATTATAGAATCGTCTACCTTACAAAAAAAGTATTTTAGATTTGTGTTCACGAAAACTCTCTGGAACGACTCAAATAAATTCAAAATGCTTACGGATCAAAACGCGATCAACTTTTACTACCACTCACTATAACTATGGAATATAAAAGCACTTGTTGTAAATGTTAATTTAATAAGATGATAGTATTTGCAATTAAAAATTTGCAAGTAAGTTTTTAATCGTAGGCTATTTTTTAGCTTCTCTAAAAAAATAATTTCCTCTTTTAATTTATTATCCTCGCAAAGTCGTGTAGCAATGGTTTCACTTGTCAGCGACATTTCACACAACACAAGAAGCATACTAATTTGGATGCATTTTTGCATCAAGCATTTATTTGTAAACAACCGTTAGTTTCAATCTCTGGGAAGGTGTGGTTCAAAATAAAAGAACCATTGCTTTGTCAAATTTGTGTATTTTTATTTATTCCTACATCCTTACTTTCAGAGATGCAAAGTACAACTTCAAGATACAGATATGCAATGCAAATGAGTATTTTTGTCCCCGTCAGATAAAAAAGCTTCCTGGCATGCCCACAACAGCCTCAATTGGCATGCTTGGTTAAAGTTCTTGGTTGTCCGCTATGTGCCCCTTCACTATAAATTAGCTGTTTTTCACACCGCAGTAGCCGCGCAGGTAGAAGGCTAAATGCCAGGACACCGCTGCGCTTCGAGGATCCCAAAGAAATTTTGTTAATCCGATTTTTGAACTGCCTAAGGTTAGTAGTTCTCGGAAAAGCCTCTTGTAGATTGTTCCACAATCTCGGCACTATCCGCCAGTTCTGGATGTACAACATGTTTAGGATGAAGCAACAGGATGCTTTTTGTTCACCACGGTGCAGTGCTGTGTTTTGGAAGCATTAAACTGCACAAGATTGTTGCGTCCCGAAGCAGCGATAACCTCCAGGTCTCTCATCAGAGAGGGAGAGGCTGCTAGTCTTCGTTTCTCCAGCTCACCGGCAGCGATCAGCTTGTGACTCTAAATTCCTGCATGTAGAGTGCTGTCACCAGCAGAACTGTGGATTGGGTTGATCGTACAGGAAAGAAGGTCTTTGATACGTAAGAGGAAAAAGGTGGATCTGCTAATATCTGCTAAACATGCCATGATATTATTAGTAGACGACTTGACTAAAAAATATTGATATCAACAATCCAACAATGGCTAGAATACACAAGATCAAGAAACCAATCTGTAGCAGTTCTATGAGATGAAAAGAAAAAATATTACAATGCCAAAATTGATCAGAGTAAAAATAATAGCAAACATATCACTGGACAACAAATTTTAGTTTTTTAATTGTATCTTGTGGGTAAAGTGCACTTCTTTGTTAACCCCTTACCGCATACTGTCCCAAATTTGGCACACGTGAAATATATGTTATTTTTCAAGTCCCCCAACAGCTAAAGACCTTAACCTAAACTGTTCCACATCTGGCACGCTCGCTTCTCTATCGCCAAGAAACATTGTCGCCCTCTAGCACGTATTTTATGAATTGCGTCAGATTTCGTTTAGCGGCCCATAAGCACGTGTTACTACATTCGCTTATAAAGTTGTGGCGGCCATAAAACGTTCAAAAATCAAATTTTTGGTGCAACTAAAATTATCTACGTTCTGGTAAGTATGTCTTATTGTGACTTTTGTAAAATTATGTCCTTCAACTCATACACATGTTGATTTATCGTCATTAGTTTTCTTGTGCCATAATCGGAACAACTTGCAGTAAAAGAAAAGCTGACTATATTATTGCCCCTTTTTTCAGATGGATGCAAAACGATTTTATGGTGCTAAAACTGTTGGGATTTCGAACTTGAGTGGCAGTGAAGATGAAAATTTGTCAGATGATGATCTTTACCGAAAAACATTTTAAGTTCTGGTGGAAGATACCAGTAAAGAAGAACAGCTTGATAGAGAGATGGTCGAAGATATTGTGATTGAAGAAAGTGATTTTTCCGATAGTGAAGACGAACTCTCATTGCTGCAAACAAGGCAAAGAAAAAAACAAGGTTTGTTTTGATTGGGAAGATAAACAGTTGAGGGTATCTGACGAAGACATATTATTCAAGGGATCTCACTCCTTAGGAAAAGATATTTTGAATTTGGGTGGTATATTCGAATGTTTCAAGTTTTTCTTTACGGATGACAAACTGGTACATATAATGGAACAGACCAATTTATATGCTATCCAATGTAGGCCTGAAAAGCCACCAAATATAACTAAAGAAGAGATAAATATTTTCATTGGAATTTGCATATATACATGTCTGTAGCGCACCTGCCATCCACTAGAATCTATTGGAGTAGTACACTGAGAGTTACTACAATAACCGAAGCTATGACATGTAACAGATTTGAAGAAATAAAACGTTTTGTTCACTTCAATGATAATACGAAGCAACAAAATCGCGATGAACCTGGTTACGATAAGCTGTTCAAAATTCGTCCTTTTTTAGAAAAAGTACGAGAGAGGTACCTACTTGTCCCAAAAGAAGAGCATCTTGCAGTTGACGAACAAATTATACCAACAAAAGCTCGATCAACCCTAAAGCAATATAACCCAAAAAAACCTCATAAATGGGGCTATAAAGTTTTCGTACTAAGCGGAGTATCAGGCTTCAGTTACGATTTCGACTTCTTTTCTGGGCCAACTAACTTGCAGCCTTATCAACCAGATCTTGGGGCAAGTAGTAATGTGGTAGTGAAACTTACAGAGTCAGTTCCAAGGAATCAAAATTACAAGGTTTTTTTTGATAACTGGTTCACCGGCCTTCCATTACTGGTTTATCTCAGCAAAGAGGGCATTTTGCCTCTTGGTACTGTCCGCAAAAATCGTGTGCCAGATTGCGAATTTCCTAAGGAATCTATGATGAAGAAAAAAGGTAGAGGTACAATTATGGAGAGAGTTGCTCGAGTCGATGGCGTAGATGTTTCAGTAGTTTCCTGGTATGATAACAAAATAGTTACCACAGTATCAACTTACGTAGGCAGTCGCCCCAAAGAGTATAGAAATATACAACAACTATATGGGAGGTGTTGATCTACTTGACTCGATGTTAGGATACCATAGGATACTTATAAGGTCAAAAAAAATTTACCTAAGAATATTTTTCCATTTCCTCGACATGTTGTGCTATAATAGTTGGATATTGTGGAGAAGAGCTCTCACTGAGAACAATTCTGATGACTATTTGCCACTGGCTGAATTCAAACTTGGTTTAGCAGAAATTCTAACAAGATCCCACGTAACTTCAAAAAAGCGAGGCAGACCCAATAGCTCACTACAGCCTCAACTGGATTTAAAAAAAAGGAAATATCCTTTTGCGGAAATACCAGCCCAAGAAATTCGTCGCGACAATGTGGAACACCTTCGTGAGTGGCATGAAGATCGCCAAAGATGCAAATTTCCTGAGTGTAAGGGGAAAACACAAGTTTGGTGTGATAAATGTAATGTTAGATTATGTTTGAACAAAGCCGTAATTGTTTTCGCCGTTTTCATCTGGAGTAAATAAATGTTTATTCAAAATTACATTTAGTTTAGGTGTTTTCCCATGTATTTTTAACGATTTATAACATATATGGTTTCAGTATATTTTTCCGTTATTGCAATTTGTGTCAAATTTGGCACATGTCGAAAAAGGCTATTTTTAAAAAAAAAAAAGCATCAATAATTTTTTTATATATTTTTCTAGTTACTTTTCTAATATGAACTAGCACATATATTTATTTTAACAAAAACAAAAAAATCATGCAGTAAGGGGTTAACTTTGGGGCGTTGAATCCAAAAATGACAATGAAATAAAAAAATTAGTTGCGGTTTAGAAAAAAAACTTTTTATTTTTAAGGATATATTAAAAAAGTAACAAGATTCATATACTTATAAGAATCACTATATGCGCTGTATTTTTGCTGTTCTTTTATGGATCGTTTCTGGAGCATCTCTACCAAGAGTCCAACAGTAGTCTACAAGCATGGAAGGGTTCCACTTTCCCTGGTACCTTTTTTCCACTGTTGAAATATCCTGATGAAAACGTTCGCCGTGCTCATCACTTACGGCTCCGCAATTGTCAGGAAAAAAGTCCAGGTGTGAGTGTAGGAAATGTATCTTAAGAGACATATCATTCCAAGCAGTTTTTTCAATACCTGTTAAACTGTTTTCAAACTGTGTATCTTTCAAAATATTTCGAATCTGTGGCCCAACAAAAATACCTTCTTTAACCTTTGCCTCACTTAGTCTTGGAAATTTCTGACGCAGGTATTGAAAAGCTGACCCATCTCTATCTAATGCCTTGACAAAGTTGTTCATTAGGCCCAACTTGATATGCAGTGGTGGTAATAAATTTTTTTTCGAATCTACTAATGGCATATGCTGTACATTTTTTTGACCTGGCTCTAGGAATTGACGAACAGGCCAGTTCTGTCTGGTGTAATGAAGTGCCTTTGCCCGACTGTCCCATTCACATAAAAAACAGCAAAACTTTGTGTAGCCTAGCTGCAGCCCAAGTAAAAGTGCAACAACTTTCAAATCGCCACAAATATGCCACTGGTGCTCATCGTATTTTATGCATGTCAATAGGTACTTCATATTGTCATATGATTCTTTCATGTGAACTGCATACCCTACAGGAAGAGATGGTAAAATATTTCCAATATGCAATAACACTGCCTTTAAACTCAATGTTGAACTGTCTATAAACAATCTCCATTCTTCTGGGTTATAGTTTATATTTAAAGCCGCCAGTAAGCCGTTAATGTTACTGCAGAAAACCAAGTTATTCTCCATATTGAAAAATGGTTCTAAGTCTTTGTGGCGTTTACGAAAAACACATACCGAAACATCGTCTTCTAACAAGTTCCACTGCTGCAGTCTTGATCCAAGTAACTCTGCCTTACATTTTGGAAGTTCTAAATCTCTTACAAGATCATTTAATTCTGACTGTGTTATTTTGTGCGGTTGGTGGCATGACGTGCTCGGTATAAAATCAGGATCTCTTGACGTTGATGGCATATCTTCTTCCTGACGAATCACTCGATCGCCATGATCTGATTCGCAAGTGTAGGATTCTGGGGGTTTTGGAATAGGATTTTCGTCACTGTGAGGCACAGGTCTCATCGCAGATGGTATGTTTGGGTAGTTAATAACCGATTTATTTTTCTTGGACATACCTGTGGCTTGTCCAACACAAGGTACCATGCAAAAGTAAGAATCATTAATATGATTTGTAGGCTCTCTCCAAACCATTGGGACAGCAAAGCGCATAGACCGTTTTTTTGCCATTTAACCAGCTACTCAGACTTGAAGCACATGTATTACAGCAGATGTGGGGTGCCCACTGTTTGTCTTGATCACCTAGTTTACAACCGAAATAAAGCTGATATGCCTTTGTTATTAGTGGAGTAATAGACCGTCTCTGAGACGCAAAAGTCACATCACCACACGTAACAAAACTGATCTGGATTGTTTACACACTTTCGAGACATCTTGCATGAACGCTGTCAGCCAACTGAGGAAAAATGGCTAATATAAAACAATATAATGTACACGTATGTATAACGTAACACAATCATGTCGATTACATCATCTTTCCTTGCCGAATATAAAAATGTAGCACGTGCATTCTTGTGAATTACAGTATATTAACACTGTCACAGCAGGAACACATATAATTACCGTATCTCTAAAACTTGAACTAATATTGAAAGAATAAGTTTCATTCCGGTTTTAGCACATTAAAAATATTAATATTTTGTTGATTTTATTTAGGATATTTTTTGGCTGTTGATCAGTGATATGTGGAAAACGTTGAAAAACATTTTCTCTTATTAAAAAAAGTACATTATCTAAAATGAAATTAGACGATGGGATAATAACAAATGAAGAAATAATAGCAGATCGACCTATTTCATAGAAAGTGTCAACGACATTTTAAAATCAATTATTGACGGGGATCCCAACCAATGTCCCATTAGCTCAGATTATAATGCATCATTCAGTGAGTTTAGAACAATAAACATTAATCGTCCCAAGAAGATTATATCAGAAATTAAATCAAATCAAAATAAGAGTGAGATTTTGTCTAAAAGTGTGCTTAATGAATGTTATGATATTATTGGAGCAAGAATATTAATCCTGATAAATTACTGTTTAGAATATGGCCAATTTCCAACAAAACTGAAGTGTTCTACCATAACTCCTGTTTCTAAAGTTAAGAATTCTGAGTTGTACACCAATATGCGGCCAATAAATGTTCTGCCAGATGTTGAAAAAGTTTTTGAAGAAATTACGAACAGATCATCGAATTTATTGAGGTAAATAACATTTTAACCAAATTTCAAGCTGGATTCAGGAAGAAACACACAACTGAAACGGCAACACAAATGGCTTTAGAGGACTGGAGGAGATATATGCACAATAGGAAACATACAGTAACAGTGTTTTTGGACTTCAGAAGGGCGTTTGAGACTATTGACTATGGGATAAATTACTTACAAAATTGCATGCATTCAAACCTCTACAAGACTATTTAATTGACAGAAGTCAAAAACCAAAATTGGATCTACGTTATCAAGATCAAAAAATATTTCTGTTGGTGTACCACAAGATAGTAAACTAGGTCCACCATTTATTTTATAGATTAACGACATTTATAATATTTTAGATTATTGTAATCTTCAGATATTTGCAGATGATACATTAATATACATATCAGATGAAAATATAGACACTGCTTTAATAATGCTAAATTCTGATTTGTCAAAAATCGTAAATTGGTTAAATGTAAATAAACTAAAATTGAATACTTCTAAAACAAAATGTATGCTAATAAGGAAATATCTAAATGAAAATACTATCACATTTAGGATAGCGTAGCTTAGGTGTGGAAACATGCTGACATTCTTAAGACACCCTGGAAAACGCTAGCGGGTGGTACCGCCTCGGTCGACTGTTCCTTGTCTACCACCTCCTTTTTGCATGTTGATGATGTTAAATAGACCCAAAGTGGACCGTTGGGGGACTTGTACCGCCACCAGGCAATCAGTACTGAGGTAGGGGTTTATTATTTTTTTTTTCAATTTCTCGTTTGTATTAATGATTATGCTTTTAAGACAGCTTCATTCATAATGCGTCTTAAAACCAGATTGAGAGTTGTGAATAGGACCGATTGAACACATACTTTTGTCAGAAACGTTTGTCATTATACTAATTCAAATAGATTAGGAGCTAAGCTTATGTGTTTACATAGCATTGTTTGTCGCCAAAATTGTGTAGTTTCAGTGAATACTTTGAATAATTTGCCTACCATTGCCTAACAAAGTGACAAATCAGCACATCGGCGTCATTCGTTTCTCTGGAAAGGAAGTAGCTATTTGTACTGGGTATACAAACAGACTATCTGTGTTGCCATCTGACTTAGTTATTGTTAATAACAGGGAAAATTAAATAAGGCAAATAAACGAAAGTAAATATTTATTATTAGCCTCGAGTACTGCTCACATGTTTGGGGTGCTGTGGTCCTGATTACATTATCCATTCTCTATGGTGTCCATAGGAGGGTTGTCCAAGTGATCGATGTCTCTAACGGACAGTCTCATCACCGTTTCACTCCGGCGGATTGTCGGCGATCTAGCTCTCTTCTACTGTTACGCCAACGGGCTTTGCTCCTCAGAGCTCTGCTCCGTGATGCCGCCGCGCGGTGTGCCTGCCAGACGGACCCGTCTGACTTCAGCTTTCCATCCAAACCACGTCGAACTTCGTACATCCAGAACTGGCGAATAAGACCGCTCCTTGGTCCCTAGGTTATCGAGATTGAGGAAGCTTTTTCCAGTTCTACTAACCTTAGGCAGTTCAAAAATCGGATTAACAAAGTTTCTTTAAGCTCCTCATAGCAGCAGGCTTCTGCCCGCGGTGCTGCTTCGGTGCAAAAAAGCATATGAACAATTCTGCTTAATTCGTGATTTTGGAAGGTGAACAATACGAAACATCCTCTCCATCAAACAGCAACAATGGCAAAATATCTGATATTGGACATAGTGGGACAT